CGCAGCCAGGGCCGCGGGCACCGCGACCGCGGAGATGCCGCCGAGGCCGAGCGGGGAGCCGCCGAGGAGACGCCGCCGCCGCCGGCCGAGGCCCGGGAGACCTCCCGGGAAGGTAGGCTGGGACAGCCCGAGCGGTCCCCGGGACATCCCCGCCGGCCGGGTGTCACCCCGCTTTCTGAGGTGGCTGCCTCCCTCTCTCGGCAGATGTCGCCGCCGCCACCCCTGCCCGCCGGGCTCGGGGCAGCGAGAGCACGGAGGGGCCGGGGGGCCTGTTGCCCGGCGAGCTGACGGCCATCCAGTGCAAGAACGTCCCCGATTACCTCAACGACAGGACGGTCCTGGAGAAGCACTTCGGCCAGTTCGTAAAAGTCCGACGGATCATGACCAGGCGCAATAAAAAAATGGCCGTTCTCCACTTTTTTGATCATGTGAGTGTCGGAAGCGGTCACCACCAGAGCAGGCTTAAGTCTGAGCGCCTGGGGTTGGTCCAGCTCTCCTGTTTGCTAATGCTGTGTGTTTTTCACCCCGGGGAAAAGCTTTGTATCGTGAGCGCCGTGTTACAGCCGGGGATAGAAGTGTGCTGAGCTGCACCTAAAACGTGGTAGCTGCCAGAGCTCTGCCTGGCTTTAGCTGTCCTGTTAGCATCCAGCTCAAACACCAAACGGGTCTTCCCCGTTCGTTGCCTCACATTGCCCAAACCTGAATTACGTACGCTGCTGTGTTCTTGCTCAGGCTCGGCAGCAGCAAGGGCGAGGTGAGCTCGTGCTGTCTTTGCGGGGTGACCTGCTCGTTGGAAGTACTGCTGTTATGTCAGCATTGAGGTGTGTTGAGGAGCCAGTTCAGAGACTGTTTCAGTTTTGTGCTTAAAAACGCAGCTTTGGTCTCAAGTGCTCTAAGCTTGCTGTAGCTCTTAGGAAAAAAAGCAATTTTTGTGGAAACACATCCTGCTGGTTGCACAAAGGTCTTCAGTGAGAGGTTAAAATGCAGTAGCCGGAATTTTACAGGATTTGATAAAGGGTTTCTCTGATAAAAAGGACACTGGGTGTTTCAATATTGCGATGCTAATAGGTTTGTGTGCTCTGCTTTTGTTTTCTTTCAGGCCTCTGCAGCTCTTGCCAGAAAAAAAGCAAAAGAGTTGCACAAAGACATAGTAACATTTTGGCAAAAGAAGAAAACAAGTAAGTCTGTGTTTCCAGATGTGATTATTGGGGGATATATAAATGGGGTGGCGTCTGCTCTGTTCTTGTTTCCTCACCTGCTGAGATTGATACAAAGATGATCTCCACAGTAGGAATGTTACAGTTGTAGGATGGTTCTCTCTGGCTGTTGATAGACTGTTTGGTGTGTAAAACTTCTGGGAGCATTGAAGGTCGTTCTTTACAGAAACATAAAAATAGTTGTTCTGCATTTTATGTGATATCCTGGCTAGGTCTGTCTGTGGCAAAGGCTAATGGTGAATGTGCAGGGGAGGGGAGAAAGAACAGGATAAAGCATGTAATTGCTTCCAGAATAATTTCTCAGCCTTTAACAGCCTATGGCTTGGGAACCCTGGCTGCCAGAAAGAGTGTCTTAGCTCTTGGAGAATTTTTCTCTTGTGAAGTTACCCAGTTGCTTTTGTAAGCTGTGTAAACTTATAGCATCCACAGTACTGTTCTCTGGTATTGAGGAAGTTTTAAGTGAGTGACTGTGAATCAGTTGGAAATTGCACTGTTTCTTTCTTAAATTCCTGTTGTCTAAAATATTTTCCTTGATCTGAGCCAAAATGCTCTTTCAGTCATACAAAAGAGCTGAAGACACTTGAAATGACAGTGTAGTTTTACAAGAGAATTTGGAAACCATTTGTGCAGTCACACAAGAGGAACATGGTGATGTTAACTTTGTGTTCCTATCTAGAAGTAGGATGTTCTTTAGGGCTGTAAGAAAATCCAGTTTCAAATGCCTCGCTGCCTGCTTCAGAGCATGGGCTGGGATGTGGGCTTCCAGCTTTCAGAAGAGTGTCCTGAGGACTGAGTTAAGGAGTACACTGGAGCAAGCGTCTGTGTTGCCAAGGTTGCTGTTCTGTGTATCAACAATTATGCACTGCTTGAACCGAAAAAAGAGCAACCTACAGAGAACTGAGCTTAGAAATGGGAAACCTGGATTCCAGACCCTGCTTGGGATTAGGACAAGAGGAGATGTGAACATTGGCTGTTCATCCCCTAGGCAAATACTTGAATTGTCAAGCACTTCCCTTTCTTTAGCTTTACAAGTGGTGCGTGTGTACCTCTGAGATCCCAGCCTGGGGATACGCTTCAGCTGTCAGCAAATGAATGGTTCACCACAGCTTTGACCAGCCGCAGACTTGCCTTCCAGAAAATGAACAGCTGCAGAGTTGTCTTCCTGAGAATTAACATCTTGAAGCAGCAGCTATAGGGGTGCCTGTTCACCTTTGTCATTCTATTGTGGTGTTAAGTCTATAGAAATGTGAATGGCAGCATTCTAAAATAAGTAATCTGAGAGAATTTAAGAAATCCAACTGGTTGAAAATTTCTTCCTGGGAGAAGAAATTCTCCCTTCCTGCAAGGTGTAGATGTAACTTGAGAAGGCATGCCAACCTCAGTCTAAGCTTGGGTATGTGAAATAAATAATTAAGATGCTTCAGCAGGAGCACTGGGAGTTGTGGTTTACCTAGGTGAAATGCATTTCATGTCCTGTAGAGAGTTATGACTTGTGGATTATATCCCAAACCTGAGAGAACTTAAATTTGGATGATCAGACTTCATATACTGACAATCTGCTGACCAATTATTGTTATTGCTAAGTGACATTTTATTGAAAAATACTTAATCTTTATAGAACAGTGAAGCTGACTAGCAATTGGTAGACTTACTCGGTACAGCTTGTAGTGCAAGTTGTTCCGGAAGTTTTGCATACATGTACAAAACTGGGACTCTTATTTTCTAATAGTTTTTTTTTTTTAAACAAACTGCTCACTACTACCTCTATGGGGAGAAAAAAGAGTTGTTGCTTAAACTATTTGGTAAGTACCTGGCTTCATGTTTATATGTCACTTCAGGTCCAGCAAAAAGAGAATTTTCATCCAAGGAGAAGAAAGTAGGTGAAGATGAAGGAAGGCAAAGCAGTGAGGAGCAAAACTATCAGCATTCCCCTCTTCGAAAACCTTTAATAAGATCCTCTGCCAGCAGTGTCTTGCCTGGTAAAAGGTACGTCTGCTCTTCTGGGAATCCATCTGGCAGGAAACAGGGTGCATGGGGAAAAATGATGATCAGTGTGTGCCAAATACCCATGTTCTTATCGGGGAGTGTGCTTCCCTCATCTCTTCTGGTTTGTCTGAATTACAAGCTCACAGATCCCACACTTTGTCAGAAAGATACTTCTAACTGCTTATTAAGGCCTTTCACTTTGGTCTGCATGTTTCTTCTGAATATTTTGTTCGTGGCAACATGAGTAACATCATCTGCAATAGTGAGGCGTAAGGGAATTGAAAGAAACAGTGCAGAGCCAAACTAGGACCAAGCAGTAATGACACTGTTCTGTGGTCATGATTAAATGAGCTTCTGAAGTGAGTGGTTTCATTTGTAGGCAATTACAGTTCTGTAGGATGAGAATCCCCTTTTCAGAATAGCTGGCAAGTTTGGATCATTGTCTTGTCTCAGTTCAAGAGAATGGTCTTCGTACAGGAGTCCTGTTTCGTGTCAGTCGCTGAAGTGGCAAGGTTGTCATCTTTCTGTGGTGCCTTAATAGTGTGTCTAGTTTGACAAAAGTAATTTGGTATGCATAGTCATATAATTATAAAATTAGTAATATGTTGTGAAGGAATGAGTGTTTCTTGATTTAAAAAGTATATCTGTATCTGGGCCCTGTAAAATCTTTTAATAATCTCTCTTGCTGTAGAAAGCATTTGTTTTTTTCACACCAAACAGCAGGCTAGTTTCTGGCTTAAAATACAAACTGCTGTGCCATAGTGGTGATGCAAAAATGCTGCAACAGCCATCTGGTTCTGTCCACTCAGATTCAGTAATACCACTTCTGTTGTTCAAAGGCGGGGACTTTCACCCCAATCAAGAACGCTTGGCAGTGTTGTCAAGGCAGTGCTGAGGATTTAACTAGATTAACTCCCAGTGCTAGTGTTAGCTCATAACAACCTTAGTGTGTCAATACATGCTTCGTTTATTTGATACATTGCTTAGTGAACAAAATATTCTTCTAAACGAGATGTTGATGTCCTAAAAAACAGTGAACTGATTAAAGCTGAGGCATGCATTATTATTGATGAAAAATCTTCTATTTTTAGTTCTCCAGCAAAGAAGCCTGGTCTTCGAAAGGCACTGCTGTTTGAAGCAGATCTGTTTGATTCTAGTTCTGAAGGGCAGAGCTCAGAGGCTTTGGGAGCTTCGTTGTCGTCTCTTGGTAACCTGGTAGGATTAGTGGCTGAAACATCTGAAGAAAGATACCGTCTTTTGGACCAAAGGGACAAAATCATGCGACAAGGTAATTACACAAGTTAATGAGCATAACGTCTGCTTCTCTGGAAAGAACAAAGTGTTTGGTGTCTGTTGCAAAGCTGTTGTGACATTGTGGAAATGGATTTAAAGGGAGAGTTTAACATGAAGCAGTCTGTAAAATACTCTTGTATTGTACATACATACATTAATTCCCTGTAGAACACGCAAAAATCTGTTTTGTTGCACAT